GTTGCTGATTGTGCCTCAAGATCCCCTTCCATGCAAAGACTGTTAGAGATCCTCGCAATGCACAAGCTCTTTGTATTTATTCCTCATGCTGGAGAGCAGTCGTAGTATTTTACATAGTAGCTCTTACTACACTGTCTCTAGCCGTCGTGAGAAAACAGGGTGTCCGCGCTGATATACGAAGTGAACTGTGACCATTTTTTTTTTTTATTATAAGGCATTAAGATTTGTTCAGGACCATGAGGACTAGTAGTAGTAGGGCACTGCTTTTGACTACCTATGAAATGTAGAAAAATGTAAGGAATGAACATGAGTACAAATCATGAGTGTGCCGCACCAACAACAACTATGAAGAACGTTTTGCCGTTAAAAGAACGCTTTTCCTACTTTGGCGAAAAACAAAGAAACGAAAGAAAAAAATATGATTTTTTTTTAAAACATAGCTTTCATGAGAGTCTTTGACAGTTATTTGCTCATCAAAGGCCTCTTTGTTTGGAATAGGTACAGTACTGCAGAGTCCCACCGAGCCACCGAAGCACGACCGGTACCGTACCGCGACCGCACACCTGTCCGTATCAGGCTTTCATTGAAATCAGATCCTGAAAATAAAGAGAGCCGCAGCAGCTCTCCCGTCCGCCCATGGCTCGGCTTCCCAGTGAAACAGGTTTGCAATAGCCAAGATTTACAGATTTCTCTAGCAATCGAGATCCTCTGGTCAGGTCTTTGGCTTCCTCGCGTCCTCCTCTGTGTGAGCGTGTATGAGATTACAGCACTGTGCAAACTAAAAGAAACTAACCAAAACAACAGTTGACCTTTTAGTCTGTGAAAAAAAATATCTTTCACTTAGGTGTAAAAGAGAAAAATAGAAAGGAACGTTCTTCTTAGAAAGCCGAGAGCGGGGCTCGACGCTGCACCTCGTATCTCAGGCTATTTCTTTTATTCTGCGCATGTAATCGTGCAGTTCCTCTGGGTCTTGAAAGCCCATATCCTGGCAAACCCACTGAATGTCCTCTTCATCTGCTATCGGGATGGAGTTATAGGGCAGCTCCTCTGTGGGAAGGGTGGTAAAAGTGGTGAACTTGACTCGCTTGCGCTTAGAGGTGGGTGAACTGGCATCCTCGCCGTTCTCCTTTGTAGAGCCCCCAGAGCTGCCGTCGCCCCTTCCGTGTACCTGGCTTTGAACGCTAGTCTGGGAACTGCCACTGCTGTGGTGGTCCCCGTGGCAACAAGTCTGTACGCCCTCCAGAGGGTTAGTGGGACTTTCCACTTGCTGTGGTGACAGATCACACTGGGCCCTCAGCGGCTGGCCGTTTCCCAGGAACACCCAGTGGTGGGAGTGATCCATGTTGGCCTGACCCTCAGGTGGGATCCGCTTATGGCGGTATTTAAGCACAAAGACAATGCAGTTGATGAGAAAGACTAAAATGGCCAGGCAGAAGACTCCCAGTAAAGCGTACATGCCAATCTCAAGGTCAGTCATGTTGCGAGGCGAATGCACAAAGTCTTCCTCCTCCTCTTCTTCACCCTCAGTTGGTTCCTCTTGGATACTCATAGTAGGTAAATTGGTGTAATCAATGGGAACACTGGCAGGCTGCTCGTTAGATGTCTCATAAATTCGTCCACTAATGTTCGGATCGACAATCGGACGCCTGGTGACGGGTGCAAGCTCAATCTCCCCCTCCGTGGTCACCTCTTCCTCAGAGTCCTCCTCGGGGCCAAAGCGGACCTTGACATAAACCGCAGCAGATGCGATGACGCTTTTGCGTTTGGTCTTCTGGCAGGCCTCACAGATGGTCATCTCCACACGCACCATCTCGCCAGATCCTTCTCCTTCTGCCACCACCACAGGCCAGCGTTGCTGAGGCTCCTGGGATACTGACGCAACTTTGTCATCCAATGTGGAGGCATTGAGGTTGTAGTCTTTGGGATCAAAGTAAGTCAGAGTGGCGGCTGTGTTGTCACTAAAAAGCATCCAGACAGACAAGCTGGCCTCCTGTCAGAGAAAAACAGAGAAATGCATTTTCAATTTCTAGAAATTAACTTTTCCTTGTTTCAGTATCAAAATGTCACTTGTGAAAATGCATCAACTGCCCTGATCACAAAAAAAGATCTGAAATCAAGATTTTTTTTCCCATTGAGAATGTAATTTGACTTGTGGTTCATGAGAAAAACAAAGAAAATTTATTCTAATTATTTCAATGCGATGAATATGTCAGGAGAAAGTAAGTCAAGAACATAAAAAACTGCACCAAAATCAATAAACAAGCTGCACTTACTTTACATATTAAGAAACAGCTATGGTTATTCTTACACGCATTGTGTTTTTCCTTCTTTTGGGTAATATCTATACACACTAAGCAATGATGGATGCTTATATTAAATACACCCCAAGTTCAAATGTTGAGGTCAGTTTATGTCCCCACTTGTAGCCATTCGACAGATTTCAGACTGCTCTAAACACAAATTTTCAACTCCTGCATCTGTAAAGAATAGTTATCCCTAATATGGTCATATTAGTCATCAACTGTCAACACAGTACCCCACTCAGCCAATCAAAAGACAGCATCCTTAATGGGAGACGAGCTAAAACTGTGGAAGCACATTTCTGCCCAGCAGAGCCAAGTCAAAACTTTATTATCTCAAAATGTCCCTCAAAATATAAATGTACTTATTTATATATTTAGCAATGGAAACACGCTTCTATATATAACAGCTTGTTACAGGCAGTGGATGGATTGAGGAGCTGCACCAACACCCAGTGTGAAATAAACAAGGTTTATTTTGAACATTTAAGTCCGACACGTAAACAAAATGTTGGGAATGGATGTAATGGATCCACTTAAAAAACTAAACAAAAAGATTTTTGTCCATCTCAAGCAGAAATAAATGTAAGATAATGATGATGCTATGTGTTAGTTTTACCAAATACAGAAAATCCATTTATTTTGTGTGAAGTACAGTATGTGCTCGAAAGCTTGCTTTTGTTAAATACTATTATGAGTAATAGCAGGATGACTCTTTATTTATGGGTTAATAACAGCGCTTATCAAGATGAGAGACGACTGATGGGCAAGGTGAAGCAAAGGTATAATTTTGATAAAACAATTACCCATTCTGTAGATGTTTATTCCTCGCCAAAGAATATTTAAACAGTTCGGTTCCTGTTATTTCACGGCATTGATCGTGATTTGAATGCCCGTTCCCAACTGAGCCTTTGAAGTCCTGGACTTGCTCTAATTCCTAAATCTCCAGAGCATTTGTGAGCATCCGCAGTGCCCCTTGCTCAGTACAAGCCTCGACATGCACACAAAACGGCCTGCCTCTGATGTGCACACAAGCGAACCACTTGAGCACAGAGGAGGAAGGGGTGGCAGAGAAATGACTGTGTTGTCCTGAAGGCAACAACGCAGGTTCGTTCGGCAGCACAGACAGATGAGGCGCAAACAGCAGTGGTGTGCGCTCCAAATGATGAGTCCGTCTCTTTGTGTTTGCTTCTTGTGTTGGTTTTATTTTTGTATTTTCTATCACTCTTCACTGTCTGCTCTCCCCTATAGAGAAATTGGATAAAAAGCCTGGGTGCCACTGCCAACACGGCAGTTACCTGACAACATTCATCTGCTGCAGAATAAACCACAACATTGGTGTCCATGTAATCAAGGATGCATTTGACAGTCCCTTTTGTTCACAGCTTGCCTAAACATCAGGAACCGACCATTAGGAAAAACTGACAGAGAGGGAAGATTTTGTTTGTAGGTGCAGAACAAATGCACAGAAGGAAAAAAGATGTTTTTGGTTTGAAAGAATGGAGGGAATCAAGTAGGGAAATATCAACTCTATGTTTGGTCCAAGCCTCTAACAGGTTGGTTTAGGGTCCTTTAATGTGCTATTCGGGCGTCATTCTACCTGTCTACATTTTCATTAACATTATTCACCTTTAAAAATTCATCATGCAGTCCTTAGTAGCTCAGACATAAACATAAACTGTGTAAACTAATATTTGTGTAATATATGCCTCCTATTCTACTTTAGGAAACTCTAAGAACCAAAAGCAAAAGCAGTCTGACAGCCAAGTACACTATTGGGGTGATACTATGGAGTCTTTAAGGTAAGATGGGGCCTGATTATTCAAGACATGATTTTGAGACAAAATTTGAGACAGGATGTTGCTAATCCAAAGAGATATTGTGTAAATGAAAGTCCTACATATTTGTATCATTTGCTTTCTGAAGGACATATTATGGTCAAAAATGACTCTTCACATAGCTACTGGACGACACGATAATGCTATCAAGACAAAGTATTGGGATAGACACCATCTTTATAAGATGGTCAAGTACAATAACCTAGCGGCCCCCAACCCGGACCTGGTCAACCCCCCGGTCTGTGGCCCGGGGGTTAGGGACCACTAGAGTTGAAGCTCCAGTGTGAGATTTATGGTTTTTATGGTTAACTCCGTTTCCCTGGGTCTTTTCCCGGGTTGTAGCTGTGCGTCTTATTTTGAAAGAGATATTTACAAGTTACCATAGTGACCAGAGAGGATTAAGGGGCAGAGAGGAGGATGTTACTCTCAATTTTGTTGGCGCATTTCAGGACGACGCTGCTAATAAAATTACACAATTACACAGTGAATTCGTGTTTATTATTATATTTACAAAATACCACAGTTTTTGTCTTGGTCGTATCATTTTATTTTGTTGTATTTATCCGTGACACTTTAAAGGCCGGTCCGTGAAAATATTGTCTGATATTAAACCGGTCCATGGCGCAAAAAAAGGTTGGGGACCGCTGCGATAAACTCAGTTCTGTCTGAATTTAGAAGCAGGAAATTAGAGGTCATCCAAGTCTTTATGTCTTTAAGACATGCCTGTAGTTTAACTAGCTTATTTGTATCATCTGGCTTCATGAATAAATAAAGCTGGGTATCATCTGCATAGCATATCATCTGCAATATGCAATGCAATACTATTAGCGTTTTCTAATAGTATTGCCCAAGCGATGCAATTACAATATAAAAAGTACTGGTCTCAGCACAGAACCCTGTGGAACTCCATGACTAACTTTGATGTTAGTCATGGAGATTCCCCCTTTACATAAACAAACTGAAGTCTATTAGATACAAACAATTCAAACCAGTGCAGTGCAATTCCTTTAAAACCAAAGTTAAGTTCTAATCTCTGTAGTAAAATATTGTGGTGAACGCTGCACTGAGATCTAGCAAAACAATCATAGAGATGAGTCCACAGTCAGAGGTCATAAGAAGATCATTCATAACTTTCACTAGTGCTGTTTCTGTGCTGTGCTGCACTCTAAACCCTGACTGAAACTCCTCAAATAAACCATTCCTCTGCAGATGATCACCCAGCTGTTTTAGAATTACTTTTTTTTACGAATTTCTGAGATGAAAGTAAGTGAGCAGCTTGCCATGTTTAATTTGAAAAAACACTCCACTGTCAAAAATTCATGTCCTCTGTTCAACCTCAGTTCTTCTTTTCATGGATGTCTTTGCCCTTGATTGTAACAGCTAGGAGAATAACTACACTCATCACTTTAGTGGAGAAAGAATTTTAACGGTGTTTCTGTGTTTTCTCAGAACTGACATGTGGATATAGCAATAGTAAGCAAAACGCTTTCATCCGAACAACACGATATGAACAAAGCTACCAATATGGATGATAGTAAAGTAACATTCTCAAGCTTTTATTTTGTGGCATCTAGAAATATATATATGGATGTAAACGCAACATGAACAGCTTGGATTATAAAATATGCATAAGCAGTGCAAATATTATTCCGTGTTATTTGCATCAATTTAAGGTTGTAGAAGTGCGATGTGTACTTTTTCTCTACGCAGCAACAATGAGCAGATCATAGCAACAGGAGTGGTTTACAAAGATCCCTTAAACGCTGAAGTCTTTCAGTTCAAAGAGGATTGAACTTTGTCATGTGGAACAGAATAATGCAAAGAGACCTTGATTGTCCAACTCGCTCCATACATAGTTTATGTGTTTCATTCATTTCTGGAGTAATAGGGGACATTTAGAAAGTTTTCCTGTGAAACGGAATCAAATGGCTTGAAATAGCTCCAGCAGTCCTCTGAGAGGTTTGCCGGCAGAGGAATTGGCTGCCTTTTATGGCCCGGCCTTGGAGAGCACTTAGGACAATACATTACAATAATTAAATTTCAAGGTGGCCAAGAAGCGGAAAGCAAGAAAAATTGGAATTTAATGCTCGCTTCTCTCTCACTGATGCCTGATGTGGTTGTCGTTGCGTTTTTAGCAACTTGCAGGCCAGAGAAAGGGCAAAGCGGGAAAACGAGTCAGACGCACACATACACACATTTCTCCCGAGGTGAAGCAGGGCTGCCAATTAATTCTTAGCTGAGAATTGCAGAGACTTGTGCTCCCATGTGAAGAAACAGTGGCAAAGACTTTCCCTCTCTTACACAGACATCTTCGTGCTTTTCACTTGAGCAATAAAACCCATTTTGGGAAATGTATTTGGACGTATCAGAAGTGTTTTGCCAGGCTTGGCTAATATGCAGTTTTGTAATATATAATGGGACCAAAGATACTTATTAGTTCTCTGCAGCTGCCCTCACATGGTGCCCTTGCTAACAATGCTGGGTTCAGTTTAAAAAATTTAGCATAGAAATGGTTTTGTTGTCTATGTTGTGTGTTAAACCTGCATCAAACTGGCGACATGAACAGGAAGTACCTTGCTCCTTTTTGGTTCAGAAATAAAACTAGTACCTCCTGACTGATGTCCACTCATTGGACATTTTATAAAGTGCACTTCAGTTGTACTGGATTAGACTCCTGTTTTTTAAATTCTTCATGGTGTAGATGATCCACATTGACATGATAGCACCACACAGTTGCTGTAGTTGTTTGCTGCACATCCATGATGTGACTCTCCTATTCCACCATATCCTGAAGATGCTGGACTGACAGCGTTTGATTGAGATCTGGTGACTGTGGAGGCTATTCGTATGGAAGCTCGTTTCCGCCATAAAACAAAACAAAAAAATTATCCATAACTCAATATTTTGAGTTCTTTTCTCAAAATTTCGACTTATTAACTCAAGATTTTGAGAAAAGTAACTAGAAATTTCGAGCTAGCACTGCCAATCAGTAATCTACGTGAATTACGTCATTTCCTTGTTATCCGGAAGCTGAAGCCCTCAGCTACAAATGCTACAGCTAAGCTACCGGTATTACGGCCAGTCATGAATGCACAAATTGCTGAGTATTTTCAGCGTGGCTTCACAAATGATGAAATCCTTTTGTTATTAGCTGAATCACATGGCGTTACTATCAGCAAACGTACTCTCGAAAGCACCAATTTGTTGCGATCCAGTTTTGAGTGTGCACTCCTCTGCGCCATATCCTTCTGGGTAACAAGAAAATGACGTCATTCACGTAGATTACTAATTGGCAGAGCTAACTCAAAATTTTGAGTCACTGTTCTCAAAATTTTGAGTTAATAAGTCAAAATTTCGGGAAAATAACTTGAAAGTTCGAGTTATGGATACCTTTTTTTCTTTTGGCGGAAGCAGGCTTCCATATATTTGAATACAGTGAATTCACTGAAATGTCCAAGAAACTAGTTTGAGATGATGTGAACTTTGTGACCATCAGAAGATGGACAGATTGTGGTCATAAAGACATGAACATGGTCGGCAACAATATTTAGAAAGGCTGTGCTATTTAAAAGATGCTAGATTGGCAGTAAAGGATCCAAAGTGTGGCATGAAAATATGCCTGAGAGCATTAATGCCAACACCACCAGCCTGAAATGTTGATACAAGGCAGAACAGATCCATGGTTTCGTGTTGTCTATGCCAAATTCTGACCCTGCCATCTGAAAGTCGCAGATGGCAGGGTCTGAAAGTTGAGCTTTATCAGACCAGGAAATGCTTTTCTAATCGTCTGTTGTCCAATTTTCTTGAGTCTTGTGAATTGTAGCCTCAGTTTCCTGCTCTTAGCTGACAGGAGTGGCACCTGGTGTAGTTTTCTGCTGCAGTACCCCAGCTTCAAGGTTCAAAGCGTTGTGCATTCAGAGATGCTCTTTAGAACACCTCGGTTGTAACTACTAGCTATTTAAATTACTGTTGCATTCCTATCAGCTTGAAGCAGTCTCGCTATTCTCCTCTGAGCTTTGGTGAAAATGAAAGCATTGTCACCCAGAGAACTGCTGTTCACTGAATATTTTCTCTTTTTTAGACCATTCTCTGCAAACACCAGAGATGGTTGGGTGGAAAATCCCAACAGATAAACAGCTGAACCCTTAAATCACCTTTCTTCCCTTTTCTGATGTTCGGTTTGAACTTCAGCAGGTTATGTTGTGCATTTCTTCATGTCTAAATGCAGTAAGTTGATGATATTTACATGTAAACTTAATATCACCAGTCTGGACACATAAATAAGGAAAATGGTAAGAGCTAGGTGTTAGTCAGTAGCACATAATCCAGGCTCCTACTGAGCTACTAAATTAAGCTGTTGGTAATGGGAATACTCAAATGGTTTTGGTATTATATTCAGACCTGTGTACTATCTTGTTTTTTCCGATGAGTTAATATGTACCTAAAATACAGGTTTTAAAATTGAGCACAGTCCTGTTGCCATGCCAGTTTAATTGGACTGCATGTGGACATGCTGACTTGTACAAGTGTGTTGGTATTTTGTTTGTTTTTGTAAGCTCTGAATTAGAAATGATCCAGGAAATTGCGTATACCACAAGACCAACAACACCAAACATCTGCAGCGAGGGTCATTTTTCAGCCAGCCTCCAATTAGGATAAATTTTTCAGTGAAATGGAAAAGACTTGGCATTGTTTACTTCAGCATCATTGTGGCATTTCTTCTTTTTTTGTGGGGGATTTTTTATTTTTTTTTAAATCACAGCTTAAAGTTGTTATAGGATTTGGGGATTTGTAGATAACTGTTAATTAGTGTTACATAACATACAAAAGAAGGTAGAAGAATTTCATTCGGCAGGAGTGAAACACCTTTTTAAGAAAGAAAGAAAGAAAGTGTGCTTTATTGATCCCCGTGGGGAAATTCCTCTCTGCATTTAACCCATTCACTCACTGAAGTGAGGGGAGCGTACCTTGCTCAGGGGCACCTCAGAGTAACTGTTCAGGGGAATCGAACCCCCGACCTTCCGATCGTGGGGCCACCACTCTACCTACTGAGCTATCCCTGCCACAAGATTAGCTTCTAATAAATTGACCACAGTAAACCAGCAGTAAAGCAAAACTCTAACAACCCTAGAAATGCACTTGAGAAGTCGAGTTCAGTGACTCAAATTAGTAGAGGTGACACCGAGCACACCTTTCTCTCAAAGCAGCGTAAGTCTCAGACACAACTGCAGACCTTGATACAATTTAGTGAAACCCCTGTAAAGCTTTAGAACTAGATGATGAGTTGAAGTAAAGTTGGGAATTTTACTGTGAACTCTGGGAATTCCTTCCCCTTTGAGAATCTGTCATTTTTGGCTCATCTGAGGTTGCAGCTTGATTTTAAACCTAACAGTAAAGCAGTTTAAAAATGCACAATGACTCTGCACTGTGTGATAACTCGTGTCTGTACCTGTTTGGGAGCAGCGAGTGTCTGGATTCCGGTTGCCTTGGCCACCATGGTGTGGCTGTTGCCGGGGCTGGGCTGCAGTGACAGGGTCAGGCCTGAAATGGCGTGAACACGCAGCTCTGTGATGGAAACCTTGTCATCTGTGACCGAGAATGCCGCCTCTCCTAATACTGCATCCACTGCCAGAGGAGACTCCACCTGCAGAGAAAAAGATGTGCTTTTATTGCATCCCCACATGACACAGGGACATCGTTTAAGTCCAGAATAGACAACAGCTTTATTGTCTCTCTGAAGCTCATAAAGCCCATGACAAGCCACTTTTGGATTAAAGTGCTTTGTGCTGTTGTTTGTTCCAGTGCATCTACTTTCTTCTGTGTCAATGCCTACCTGTCTATCACAGTGAGAAAACAAACCGAAAAAAAAGGCACACTCGAGACACAATCTATCATCAACCAGACACAAGGTACAATTCGAAGACGCAACCGCACGCTATCAAAGTCACTGTTAGCAGAAAACACTTCTGCCCATCTAAGTGTCATCAAATGAAATGCCAAAACCATTTAAAGATTCTGTCCTGCCTCTGCGGGTAATCCTCTGCTTTTGACGGTGCCTCTGCACCCAGTAGTTTAAGCACTTTTAAAATATCATCATTTCACTTTGCAATTGCAACCAGAGGTCACGAGTGACGGGAACAAAGTAAAGAGCCATTCAGTGAAGCAGCGGCCTTGTCCTTAGAGTCAGACGGGGAAATCTTTTCCTCTCAAGCATTTTAGAACTCCAGCCAGAGTCAAAAGGCATGTGAAGCTAGACCTGAGATGAGTTTGGTGCTCCGACGAGCTTTTCCAATCACCATCAAGTGCAACCTTGAAACAGCAAGTCAGCTATGCCCATCGATACAAACGTCATGCTGCTAAAACAAAAGTCAAAGCTCACAGTTTGGCTCATTTGTTGGTTAAAGTGAGACGCACATTAAAAAAATGTGTTACCACGCAACACTTTTTAGTTGTTGTTCTTTTTTAATGTGCAAAATTGTACTTTTCTTGCTAAAACCTGTCATTATTTTCCATTTTTATAAAAGGATTATTTCATATTCACCAAATAAAATGCAAAAAAAAAAAATGTGTTTACAGAATTCACTGATTTATTAGGTGATGAAAGAACAATGACTGTAATTTGCTAACAGAGCAAAGCAATAACTTTAAGACTTCATATTTAGATAAATGCCTATTTTATTTTATTTTTTATATATATATATATATATAAACATACAATCCCAGAAAGCTTCTAATAGAAAGACACTCTTGTTCCTAATCACAGGTAATCAGCTGGAGATATTTCAGGGTGATAGCGCTTAATTAAAAATGTTGCCCTGTAGTGCTCGACATTAATCTGGATTCAAATAAATGCATCAAATTATTATTATATTTTTTTAAAGGGGTAAATAAAATGGCTCTTCACTGTTTGGTTACCTTTGGCTCACATCTAAGTGCTGCATAATTTGGAGCAATAATTTGTTATGTAATTTGTCAGATGAAGGCTTGAGCCAAGTCATCAGTGGAAGCAGATGCATCTGCAGGTGTCTGGTTTTATTAATTTGGGTTCGATTCTTTATGAGTTCTGTTGAGCTTAAAAGGAAAACTCCCATAACAGAAGCAAATTAAAAAGGTATTTATTAGCTGTTCCAAACTATTAATGCTATTTATTATCTTAAATAAACACTATTCACATTCCCCAACTTCATGCTATCACCTCCAATGACACCTTCACTTTTATTTTCTTAGTCACAGCACTGTTACAACGTAGCAGGCCGGGCTAATTCGATGTGATGTCAAACTTTGCGTCGCCTTAATACAGTAATGATACAGTGTTCTTTGCTAATGTCCTTTTAACCTACGGAGGTTAATGGCTGGCATCAGTTACATGCTGCTCTGAGAGCTGCTCCGCGTTTGAATGTGCTTCCCATACACACAGTTTTCCCTCTATGGCGCATTCATATCACAGTAAAGTATTATAAAGTTACTAAAGTACTGTTGAATATTTTATAAAGAAACGAAAGTAATCTTTCATACCGGTAAATGCATACGGGCTAAAAATACGAGGGGGGGAATCTTCTACGCAGCTATTAAATTCTGCAGTCAAATTCCACTTCCATATCCATATCCATATTGTTCGCCTGTGATGGATTAATGCGCCAGAAAAGAGAGTTATGGTTTGCTGGGCACCCAGAAATATGCACACATGCAGCCACAAATACACCAATGTGCAGAACCCCAAGGCATGATAGTAGATGGATGAATTAAAAGAAAAGAAGAAGAAAAAACCTTTTTTTCAGGAGAAAAACTCAGTTGCATGATGGATCACTCTCTTTTTGGGAACAACAACAAAGACATTTGCATTTAGCTCGACTTGTCAAACTTTTCATTTCCACTTTTCATTTCTTCTTCATTCGGTTTAAGAGCAGAGTAAATACAGGTGAAGGCCTGAAGTTGTTCGATGAATGCCGACAGAGCTGAAGGATGTGTCCTGAGCAAAAAGAAGTCACTTTCTGCATAAAAAACATGTCTAATCATAAATCCTGCTGAGGTCAGACAGAGTGCGACTCTGCCGGGGAAATCTGTTTACTTACAATTGATTTTCTGCTATTTCACGTTCCAGTCAGCTGTGGCTGATATTTTCAATGGCCAATTATAGTGACTAAAAAGAAAAGCTAACACTGCTTAAAATCAATATTGGCAACTATGCCCCCAAAAATCCCCCACAATTCAAATAGATCACACTGTACATTGATTGTTTAAAATAAAGAATTGTAATGGCAAAAAAAGGTCATCTCGTTCACGGTTATGATCCATGCTGGAAATGTATATTATTCCTCAGCTGTCATTTACTCAGCTTAAGAAAAATAAATCACTTGGAGCTATAAATCAGCTGCTGAAGCTGAAGTTTGGTATGAAGACTTGAACCTCCCACGGTTTAAGCTATTTTTGTTGCTTTATCTGGCACACATACACCCTGATAATAATCCCACAAACCCCTTTTTCTGCATTCTATACTGCCTACAGATTCTTTACCAGCAATCTAATTGAGCTATCAAATCTTTTAACTTTTCAACTAAATCAAAAACACAGGAATATATTGGAAATATCAAATAATAAAGGGAAAAAACCCCACAACCAAACAGTCAGGATCATAATTTTGCACCTAAGTCACAATAAACAAAACAAAAAGTGAAATAAGATAAAATAAAATAAACGAAACCCCAGAGAATAAATATGAGCACAGAAAGAGTTGATTCATCCTTTTTGTTATGTGCATGTTTAAACTGTGGACATCCGCTCATGACTAGACTGTACTAGCACTTGTTCTTATGTATGATTACTGTCACAGTGCCCGCTGAGAATTCTTGCATATGTGATAATGAGATTTATGGAGCAGGCTCTTTGACTGGGGGCCAGAGAGGCACTGGTGAGAGCTGATTTATTGGTATAGTTAGTAACAGTCATCTACTCGAGGATGCATATCTAAGACACCGTCTATGGCACGATTACTCATTTTTACTGTACATGAATCCTCCATTCTCCATCATTGCATGATGACACAGGTGCATAATCACCAGCAGGTAATGTACAGATCACAGATTTTTGGAAAATAAATAAGTATGTCGGAGTGGATGGGAAAGACGGGGATTTCTGAAGCCCTTGAGCCAAACTTGGACTTGTGGATGGATGTTTTTCCGAAGGTAATGAGGATCCCATATATATCATTTATAGTCAACTTCGGACTGCAGGAACTTCTCCGTAGTTCTAGTAGCTGTGGGAGGTAGAATATTCCCTTTTCCTGCACTGCAGGGGCTTGGTATCATTACAACTCATTTATTAGGATATTTTTTTTAACCTTCTATTATACAGCAGGCATTCTACCCCGAACCAAGACAATGAGAATTTTTGATTGGCTCAGATGTATTCAATTCAGTCTTATTTATATAAGTTTGTAAGTGAAAAGCTAAACGATCAGCTAAATGATATCCTATGAGGAAGCTCTTGGTGATAGCTGTAAGGAAGATCTTCCTTTTGACAGGAAGAGACCTCTATCAGACGCAGGCTGACTTTGGGGTGCAGGTGGTTGAAGGTTTAGGGGAAAGAGAAGGGAAAAGAAGAGCACAGAGACCACAAAACAACAAACAGGACAAAACACAAGCTGCATGAGAGTTAACGTTAATCTCGGGAAGTTAATAACATGCAGAAAGAACAAAACAAAACAAAAGAAAAAGCATCAGGTGTGTAAAGAAGTGCTCAATGCATCATCTTAAGTCCCCAAGCAACCTGAGCCTACAGCAGCATAGCAAAGGCTTACGGGTCATCCTGATCCGGCCCTGACTCTACTTTTTTCAAAAAGGAAAGTTTTAAAAGTAGAGTGGGTATAGGAAGCCTTGTAGCTGGAGAATTAAAGGCTCAACCTCTATTGTACTTTTAGAAAGTCTAGGAGCCACAAATAAGCCTGCGCTTCCACAGCCAGACGACGGCAACACCTGCAAATAACGTCCAGGCGTGTTCGTCACTACATAACGAGCGACACACACGCCGTTCTTCTCGTTTCATTAAATTGTTTATATTCTTTGTTTTTGAGTGTCAAAAACTTTCCCCATCTAGGGAAATTAGTTCAAGCTATAAAGGATGTGGTGGGTGGCAGACGCACGTTACTCACAGTATGTGTTTCTATATAAAAAATAAATAAAAGTATATTTAAGTTTAAGTAGGTTTACAGTCTTATCAAAAATAATAAATATCATAAACCCAGAGGTTTTAGTTCTCCAGCATCAAATACGCCCTGATTTGTATTCGGTTGACGTCTGTTATGTTCAGTTACGGCACACGGAGAGGATTCTGCTCTTGACTTTATTATCAACTTTATTAACATCTAAGTGTTTGTATTTAGTTATGAATGAATTTTGATCGTCTGAAGCTGAAAATAGCTCAATTGCAGGCGAGGATGGTTTTTGGTACTCAAGTTAATTGAATCTGTCAGCTTTAAATCTATAAATAATTGGCATAAACACGAGCAGCAGATTCTTCTGTCTAGTCTTTTAAAAAATCATATTACCAGAATCCCAAGTGTCCCAGGAAAAAGACGTTTGTAATGTGTCTCAAAATAATTATCCAGAATGTCAAATGAGGAAAAACTGAGGACATCACTAGTCAGGT